TGGCAGAGTTCGATACTGATGCAGTGTGATTCTTCTGTGAGTCTTGAATCCAAAACCAGTAAACATGTAAATATGCATTTTAAGCATGAATAATCTTCTCACTATTCAGCAATCATTTAGATGTGTGCCTAAGTTTGACCAATTTTTCCAGTATGTGTCCAGACCCATAGTTTTTGGTAGTGTGGAGCCAAGCTTGAGAGCTTTGCTGAAATGGCTTTTGTGAATTCTGTATGGCTATTGGAGGTCGTTTCGTGAGACGATATTTGATTTCCTGAGAGAATATGAAACGCCCTTTAATTTAAGGATAAATTATAGAGAGAATGCTTGTCTTTTGAGGACTTTTATTTTTGGATACTGAAGTGGTGGAAGATGCTGATGCAGAAGGCAAATGCTCCTCTGCAGCCTTGTTTTGACACAGGGAGAGTCCCCATGCTCTCTGGTCTTGATGCTTATCTCAATCAGCCCAGTTATTTACTGGCTGTACCTGCAAAATTCCTTCCTGAGAAAGGTTCTAGTGGCTTTGAGAAGAAGGGTGCAAAGGGAAATGGCAGAGCACAAAAGCAGCACACCACTTAAAGATGTTTATGTATAGAGGATGGTTGGAGGAGTAAGGAACCTCTGAGGATACACCCATTTTTTCCCCTCCATGTCTCAGTATGTCTTAACTGACAGGGTGAATCCTCTCAGCTTTTCCACCACCATGATGCAGCTCTGAAGCCACTTCTTTCAGGAAAAAAATAAACATCTGTTTAGGTGGGAAATTTGAATTTTTTCAGCAGAAAATTCAAGAGGAAGGAGAAAATTAGCATGCACTTTTTCAAATACAGGTGACTGACTGGCCAGTGTCCTTCTTTTCATTGTGGTAGGAATCAAGGCTGCTTGGGTACAAATCAAGTCTGCTTAGAATTAAATAGGTGGATGGTGTCAGCAGTGGATGGATTAATTTCTCATAACAGCTGGCATCTCTTTTGCAGGGGAACTTTTAAAAAAGAAATAGTAGGAGGAGGTAGTACTCACAGTGCTGGCCAGAATCCAATTTGGATAATTGCATTCTGCCTACCTAAAATTGTAATGGCATGTTTATGCTTCCCAGCTTTGTAATGCCTCGGGTTTCTTTGCTTGAATCTTGCTGTTTAAATATGGAGTTATTAGTTGAGTCATCAACATTAATTTTATTCTGTATTTCCATCAACAAATAATAGTTCTTAGTCAGGTAGCACAGACCATTCATAGTAATATTATTATAGTGGATTCACATTAATAATGTAGTTTATACATTTCAGTGAGGGTGTTTGTTATGGCCCGGCTTTCAAAAATGTGAAAACCCAATGGTTTAACTTGCAGCTATTACAACAGAACAATCTAAAAATCGGTTGCTAGATGTCTAGATGTTCAGAAACATCATGAACCAGCTTGGATTAGTGTATTACAACTGTCTCACAATTTCATTTTCAAATTAAGTTAACCTGCTTATTAAATTACATATATTTCAATTTTAAAGAAAGTAGCACTTAAGTAAACAAAGATTTAAATGGAATTTAATCATTTTTTAATGTCTTTGTCAAGGTCACTGATTTTAAAGGTCACTCTTTGCACTTCCAGGACGGTGCATGAGCCAAGATCAGGCTAAATTGAGTAGGTTGTATCTGATTGAAAAAATGTGATTGCACTGAGTCCTTTTTCTGACTGATGTAGGTGTATGGAGGGAAACGCAAGTGCAGATTTAGAGTTTGTAGGCAGATTTAACACTGGTTTAAAATTTAGATCCTGACAATCTCTCACTGCAGATCAACATATAGACCTTAGTTTTATTGGTCCCTCTAATGCATCCTACTGAGGGATTTGTTGGATGAACCATGCCTCAGGAAGTAGGTTCGGATTGGGAACCTCAGTAAGATATGCTCTTCAAAGCATCTCAACTGGACATCCTACTGATGTCTCCACTAATCTGTAAGTCTCTGCCAACCATCAGATTTATCTCAAAGGTTCTGACATACATCACACCATGCAGTGACCTTCCTCCTGAAGGTGAAGCTTGACTGGCACGTGGCTCTGAGCCATCCCTATCTCTGTGACCAGAGACAACCTCCTCGGGCATCTCCTGCACATGGGGTCAGTGCTAGGCAGAGGCCTACTGCTCACTTCCTGCTCTGGCTGGGTGATGTGGGCCCTTCTCACACCAGCATCACCCACTCCTGTTGTCCTGCTCCCTGGGGAGATGCTGACAAGGCTGAAGAACCACAGTAAACTTCTCTTCTAGACTTCCAGCATCCTCATGCTGGCTGAAATTCAGGCAGTTAGAAAAGCAATTTGCATAAAAGAGAGAGGAGGCCTTTTTAAACCTGTCATCCCTGTTCATTGATCAAAGATTATGGTCCTACTTTATCATTGCTTTATGGAGAGCATTTGTTTGTTTAGTACTTTGGCAGCTATTGGTACATAAGCAATGCATATGGCTTAAATACACCCATTATCTGAAGGCCCAGATCTGCAAGCACTGCCAGGCACAGCACTTACTGCCGTGAAGTTGATAGAAGTACTCCAAACAATAAGCACAGTGCTTGACAAGGTATTCGGATTTTCATATTTCTGTAGCAAATAGAGAAAAAGATGAAACCTATCCTGACCAGGCACCTACGAGGGTTGTCATCCATTGCTGAAACCTGCTGGTGTATGACAAGTGGGTAGGAGACAGCACCACGTGAGGCATGGAGACAACTCGGGCACAGACACTGGTGAAGTGTGGTGGCTAATGTGAGAGAAGTCAGTGCCCTGCATCAAAAAACAAATTGTGTAGAACATGAGAGGAAAGCGCTAAATGCTGAAACAGAGCTCAGAAGGGAGGCAAGGGAGAGAGAAAATAGCGAAGTGATGCTGGAGGGTTGAGTAGGAAAGGTTATTCATCTTGGCCTAGGGAGAAAAAGATTATGAAGAGCAAGAGGGGAGGTGGTGAGAAAAGGAGTTCTTCATGTATCCACCTCTTTCAACTTTGAAGACTGTGCTTTGTATTGAGGAGTGTGCAGTCAGAGGGACCTCTCTGTGTGACGGGCACAGTGGTGATGTGAATTTCATGGTCCCCCTCTGACAAGCCACGTGTAAAATGGCTTAAAACCATTAAAAACTCACAGAAAAACTTAGTTCTTTGTCATGCTTTGTTTACTTTGTCAGCGAGATTTTTCAAATGGAGATTTTGTTGCATGAAATAATAAAACTGTGCATTGTGGTCACAAAGATTAGTTGTTAGACCTGTTTATGCACACAGCCATCCAACTACTGTTATTTGCATCCATATAAACAGAGGCTATGTTAAAGTCTGGCTGAAAATCAAGCCCTTTGTGTGCTGCCTAGAAGGCTTCAGCAGATGGGAGCCATATAAATAAAATGTGGTGTCGTTATTAACTGGCCTAGCAGTTTGGCGCATTTCTAACAATGATTACTTGAAATGATACGGTGACTGTTCTATCTTGAAGGGTGAATTTATCTTTTATACTGGACTGAGACATTTAAAAGCAAAATACACAGTCCTTCCTCTTTGGGAGAAACAATGGTGTGAATCCCATTGTATCCCATAGAGAGTGAAAAAGGGAGCTGCTGCACAGGTTGGATTAACTTCAGTGCCAATTGTATTAGCAAATTCATGTTACGACTCTGTACAGCTGCTTCAGTTTACCTCTGTCCTAATTTGGCACCGACTCTCTCATGCCTAGCCCTACGACAATAGACTGTGCTTTGCTTTTTTGTAATAAAGATACAGCTAATTTAAACACAGCAAACTTTATTAGACAGTGATCTTATTTTTACAGCATCACTGTATCCTACCTCAGAACAAAATACAGACTTCTACATGCAGCACACCAAAAAGATTTGGCTGTGGAAAAAAAACAAGCTGATCCTATACACGTGAACCCAGTGAGCAGATAAATAATTCAGTATCCTCAGTGTGATTCAGGTTTCTTGGCCAGCGCTAAGATTGCCAGTTAGGAATGACCTCACAGGCTCTTCCCTGGAATGGCCCACGGTGATGAGCCCTTTATATCAGGGACAGACAACAACCCATGCCTTCAAAATAGTTGATTTTTATTTCTCTCATGTTTGATAACTCCCTCTTCTTCAGTTCAGTCCTACGTATTTTTCCTAGGCTTTCTCTTTCTTATTTGTGAGGTGGTTCTTGCTCTTCCCATTTCCCTCTCCATCCCACTAGCAGGAATGAAAGCACCTATTTTTTTAACCCATCTCATAACCTGGGTGTGGCCGCTCCCTTTCCTTGTTTTTGCAAAGGTGATGCTTCCCAGCACTGATGAGATCCTCCTGATAGCAGGTGGCTGTGACCCAGCTCCACCATTTCAGCAGCTGAATTCCCTTTCTGGAAGATTACACAGCTCACTTTTGTTGAAAGAATCCTCTTGTCAAAATGCAGATTGAGAAAGTGAGATGTAAAGCCTAATGGTGCTGGCAGGCTGCACGAGAATCCCAATATTGTATGAAAAAACACTTTTACCTCAGTGTTGCTGACTTTTGCTATATCTGGAAGTATGACACTTAGAAATTTATGAAATCTCATTTTGAGTTAGAAAACATCTTAATGGTACAGGTGAGTTGTCAAATGATGACTACAAAGTAAATAATGGCAATGTGAGCTCAGGGAGAAGATGCTGCTGAAGGTGGGCAAAGAAAGCATCATCTCCAAAAGAGCCAACTCTAGCTTTGCTGTTCCTGTATATTCCTCCAGAGAGTGTAACAACTAGATGGGAAAAAACCTACCAGCTCCTGAACAACTGCCCCACCAGTACAATGCTAAACTTCACACTATTTTCTCTCCTTATATTCATCTGTGTCTTTCTCATCAGCCTTAAGTGTAAAACAATCAGATACTTAGGGATTTCAGTTTTAAGGACTGCAGAATGGAAACCAACCTTAGTGAAACTGTGTACTGCTTAAATGTATGTTCTTTAGCCTGCATCTTGATCGACTTTCATCTTTTTTTTTTTTCTTTCCAACAGTGCCTCAGAAATAGAACCTAAAAAAACCCAAAGAACAACTAGTGCTTCACTGCTAACAAGAAAGTGGAGATGACTCACTGCTACTAAAGGTGAGTTATGTAGAGTAATTATATTTTAGTGAATCTGTTTATGAGTTACTTTCCCAGACACAGAGATATTAAAGCTCATCCTCACAGTCCTGCCTGTCATCTCCTCCAAGGCTGTAGAAACTGAGCCTGCCACACCGTTAGCACTGCCACTGGCCTTGGCATACACAAAGCAGTGCTTGCGTGGGCACCCACAAGCACATACGCATAGACACACACCTGGACTACAGAGGTGATGAATATTTTTATGACATTATTTTTATGATAATCTGTTTCAATGGTTAATTTAGTTTAGGGCACTGATTTATAACAAGTTTATAGATCTTTTTTACTATTCTTTGTTGAATTATAGAGGTGACATGTGTGAAATGGAAGTGCTTGGCCTATTGTTCTGCTTCTCACGCAACCAGTGTAGTTGAGACAATAAAAAGATCTATAAAATTAATATATACACAGAGAAAGGAACAGAGACAGAGAGAATATGTAATGCTTTAGATAGCACGTTTATCTTTCCCAGAGAGTTTAAGACTCAGAATTTACTTGTGGAAATACCAAAAAAGATCTTTACCTCTTTTGTGGAGAGAAACTACTTTTAAGTGTTTGTACTATGATCCCCTTTATTTATAAATCAATTTTCAGGATGTAATTTTAAAATAATTTTTAGGCTAGAATCATGTTGCTTTGCTATCTGTCTGGAACTAGACCACCTACTCCTGAAGGTTTTCTGGTCTGGAGTTTGTAGGCTGACATCTACAGCAAAATTCTACCGTACCAAAATTTCAGCCCCTGATTTTTTATACCAGTACATTTTATTTTATTTAAATACACACATGTGTGAATGGATACACTATAATACACCTATATTGATGCATCTTTCAGTAAACTCAATATATTCTCACACATATTTACTATAATAGTATTTTTTTTAAGTCTCATTGTTGCTAAACTTTGTTCAGTTTGCAATACTAACTACACAGCTGCCTCAGCTCCCTTTTCTACCTCCCCTGGGGCTTTTTCTGCTAAATCGGATCATTGAAAAGTGATATATTTCAAGGTCTCGTACCTCAGACCTAGGAGATGGTAGTAGACTTTCTACTATCTGTATCCAAATGAGTAGGAAACAGTAGAAATTTTTACCTTTTTTTTTTCTTCAGAATTTTCTTTAGCTGTTATGCAGCTGTTTAGCTGTATGCCAGTGAGATTAAACAAGATGTAAAATACACTCCATAAAAGTACAAGTCCTGTGTTTTGTATCATTAATGCAGTTCCTTTGACTGTTTCTCAAAAAGATATTTTTTTTTAAAGAAGCTTCTTGTTTTGAGGATGCAAAAAGCAGAGGTGCATTCACATCACCCAAGGATATAGATTCATTCTTTGTTTTGCATCTGAACCTACTGTCAGCAATTAATTTATGTCTAACTTCTGTCAAATGACAGTCAGTGGTAAGGCTTGTGATGCTTTCCAGCTGATAGTCAGAAATTAAAGGATACTGAACCAATTAATAAAGTGTCCCACATCCAGTCATTAGGTTTGCAGACTGTGCAATATCACATGATACAAATGAAAGTTGGGCAGGATCAATTATCAGTAGGTCGGGGACTCCCCCTTGTCACAGAGTCTATAGTAAATAGTGTGAGGATCTTTTGGTTGGAGAAAGGATGCACTTTGAGTCTTCTGTGTTCCAAGTGAAGAGGGGGTAGATTTACTCCTACAACTTCTTGAAGTGTTAATAGAAGCTAAACTGCTGAGAATACTCCAGCTTTAAAAGAAATATCTCCAGCTGCACTGAGAATCTATAGTCTCTTTGGGGGATATGTGCTTTAGCATTGCTTGTGTGTCTCCTGAACCCTTTCACCGCAGGAATGTAAGTTTAAACTGTGACTTGAATTGGAAGAACTTGTCAGGAAAGATGGACAGTCTTACTATCAGCTGAGATTTTTAAACTAATGTGAATCTTTCTAAATGGCATGTAATAGTCTTTCTTTTTTTACTACCTTTCTTGTGGCTAAAAGTGGTCAAAACTATTTTTTCATGCTGTAGCAAAAATTTATGTTTATATGATAGGAGGAAGTCGATGAAAGATGAATCAGTTTCCCCTGTCTGTTATGTAAAATGATTAAAAATATCTATTAGCACTCATTTGATTCCCTTTTTAGCCAGTTCATCTTGTAAAGAGCTTCGTTCGCAGTGAAGCAGACAAATGCTAATCAACTGTCTTCTGTAAACCCTTAGCAGTGGAGTTTGCAAAGGTGATAGTTATTTTTATTTTGCTTCTGGCATTTGTCCTTTAATGTCTTTGATGTGGCTAGCTGCCTATCTCACCTGAGCCTTAACCAGCTATGATAAGATCTGCTGAGAGCCTTCCCTCTGGCTAGGTCAGGAGCTTATTTCCTTTGGAGTCCATCAGCTGCATGATGACTAATTGTACCATGATAATGAACACTGAGAGCTAATCACTGTCCACTTATGTAGAAAACCACATACTGTTCATACATGTCTGAACTATATTGGAGGTTTCCACTTCTCACCTATTGCAACTTATTTCTGGTGTTCACATCACGTTTTTTCCACACAGACCCACTTTGCAGATGAAATTCATGCCCATCATTTGAAATTTTTCTATTCTTTCCTCTGTAGAATTCCTTGCAGGAGCCTTTTGACAACAAGTTTGGGTCTGTAAGGGGCAAGTAACACGAAACATGTTTCTAATGAGCAATAATTACAGGTTTAAATAGTTGGCACAATCAGTGTTCTGTGATTTCATTATTAGATGGCACTGTAATTTATGCTAATCCTGATAACGGTTCTGGATGAGAGAGGTCCAGACATAGGCGACTGCACTGCAATTATTTATACCCTGTATTTCTGAAACAATAGATATGGTAATTTGGAAATCAGATGACTGTGATTTCATTTATTCTGGTAGGAAACACATGTACCAAGTTGTGTCAACAACTATAAAATTAAATAGGATTATTTGATTTTTAATTCTAGGTTTATTCCTTGTTAGCTTATTTTGCCCTAAAAGACTGATGAATTGAAGCAGGCACAAGAAGGGGAAAGGGAGGTGCTTGGTGTCTTTTTTTTTTTTAAGAGAATGCAATGAATTGTTCTATTATTTTACTACTCTTTCGTAAACCTTGCATTTGGTTATGGGTTCTCAATGCAAGAAAAAGTTGGGAATGAACCTCATGTGTCTGCTCTTTAGGTATCAACTTTGTCATTACTGCAAAAAAGGTGGACTGTTCTATGTCTATAAAACCCTTCCAACCTTTTCTCAGTGATGGGATTCTTGTATTTCCTAGTCCCACTGTGCTCTTGAGCAAATAGACTGACAGTAAATTGTGAATTTTCAAATTAAAATGTATTGCTCCTATGAGTGGCAAGGAATCCTGAATCAAGAAAGCATGGCAGAATAAAGTGCTTGGGGGGAAACTGCATAAAAAGTCTGGTTTGCAATGGCTGGTTTTTCCTGGGGACTTGCAACTGAGGACTTGCATTGTGCGAGTTGCTTTATTCCTGTTTAGAAATGACAGTTGTGACAAGATTTACCCCTAATTGCAGTCATGTCCCATCGTGCAAGTTTACAAATGACAGTTTTGCCATTTAGCAGTCAGTTATCAATAGAGATCTTCAAGGATGGAATGCATTAAATAATGGGCAGCCCCCTAGAAATGGAAGTGCCAAGACTCCTCCATACTCTTCTCAGCATGTTTTTCCTCTTACAAGCAGATGTAAGTTGGAGCTGACTCCTCTCTTCATATTAACCCTGTGAATGTTCCCATATACCTATATCTTAGATACACGTGCAGAAGGGAGTATACCACAAAGGCCTAAGTCAAAAGAAAGGGAGGCTGTAGTGCTGTAGAAGACAGAGAAAGCTTTTAGCACCTGCACTAGGTCTCTGCTTCATTCCTCAGCACTTCAGTCATGCCAAAGAAGTCAATTAGTCTGTTAATTTGTTTAAAGGTAAGCCTATCCTACGTGCTTTGCTGAACTGGAATATCAGGTCTTTGGTATGACTAAGTGGGATAATAAGCTGTTGATTGTTAGAAGTTCCTGGAACAATCAGAACTCGAGTTTCTCTGCCAAAACGTTATTCACTGTAATTAGGACAATGAAAATCACTAAATTCCCGTTCACTCCATCTCTCATCCATATCTCCTCTGGTGAGCATGTACAGTCTTTTATAAATACAAGTTTCAAATTTGGAATTCCTGTTAGGGGGAATAAATGTGCACATTTTCTAATAAGGAAATGTGTAAGTCTGGACACTGGAGACCAAGGTATATACTACATTTCCTTTCTTTGATTGCTGGGACTTTCCTACAGTATCTGCACTAGAGAGAATAAAGGGAGGCATGCAAATACCTTCTCCTTGAGAAGTTGGCAAATGAGAAACTTACTTCCAGATTTGCATAGAAATGAGCAGAACTTTTGAGAACTTCTGAGTGGCTGACTGCCAAGGTTGTCACTTAGATGTCTCAATTCCCTTTGTAGATATATGTACAGTTCTCTCTTCCTGTGCAAGGAGCAAGGTGAGCCTGGTCTGGGTGCCATACTGAAGAGGCACTCCTGGGAAGCCCCTGGAGAACTGAGCTGATTTCATGAAAGTTGACTACCTGAATAGGAAATGACCCCTGAACAATTTAGGGTAATGTACATACTTGACCGCACACCACCATGGAGGCTTGAAAAATTGTATCCAGAAGCTATGTTTAACCTTATGTGAACTGCTCAAGTTTTTTGAGCCTTGCGAGAGAGGCTCTCACTGTGGTTTTGGTACCTGCTGCTTTTGACATATTTGGAATTGTTGAAAACAGTCAGTCTTTGTAGTATTTGCGTTTTTGTTTCTGATCGTAGCCTGATCTGGAAGGAAGCAAGTAGAGAAACTGCAAAACAACATAAAGAATCTATTAAACCTTCTTTCCCTAGCTTTTTAGATCTATTCTACTCTTTTATAGCTTTGGGCTGGTGAAGTTCCTGGTTTCTTCTCTCTTTGTAT